GAAATAAATAAAACTAAATAAACTAATATTTGGTTTCATTTTCTACTGAAGTGACAAAAAAAAAAGAGACCCAGACTTCCCTCTCTTAATGGTTAGTAATTAAAATAAAAAGAATGAATGAAAGCCCACATCTGTCAAATGTCTGATTATACAGGAAAAAAAAAACTTTATTCACTGAATCAATAAAACTTTTCATTGACAAGAGTTATATTCCTATTGTTTTTACATAAAGAATGTTTATATCATCTGGTTTAACACTGATGCTTTTATACAAACAACCTGTAATATAGTGTAAATTCATTTTTGTGCAGCTGTAACACATCTGTCACCACTGTCACTGAAGGTTTATTTTTTTACAAGCCCATGCAAAGCTTATGGCAACAGAGAAGTGGTTTGTATTGCTAATAATTGTGAGCACAGCTAAACGATGCATCATCAKGTCGTTTCAGAATGGCTGGCACTTAAGTTTTAGTGATTTGGCGCAAGTCATCAAGCATGTTGTTTAAGCCGTTTTAATTAGAGATTTAGACATAACACCTTAAATTAACTAATGAAATGTTTCATGTCTTTYACACCTTAGAAAGATGGTTCAGATTTGTTGAAGTGGTGGAAAAGTAATGAATCGTTAATGTTTTACCTGCTGTAGATAGCTGAAAAACCTCAGTTTGTTTAATTTTTTATCAGATTGATGAACWATCAGCCGGTCCAAACAAGGCCAGGATCAAAGCAGCCATCATAATGATTCATGCAGAAAATATTTTATAATTAACTTGTTTTAAGTTTTATATTATATGGTTGTTCTATGAAATATGTACTTCTAGGAGTGCAACGATACAGTAAATTCACAATTCCGTTCAATTCGATAATTTAGTCTCACGGTTTGACATGTTTTTGATGCAAAAAAGAGAAATGTCCACGCCCTTTTTAACTTGYAATTWATTGAAATTAATTTCGAACACTTGTTTAACCTTAAAAGTACAGTTTTTAAATTAWATTTTGCTGAAACAGCAAGTTCCTCAGTGGATCTGTGCTCGACAACAAAGCCCAGGTTGAATAGTGGAACACAGATCCACTGATCCTTCAACACTCAGTCTGTATTGTTTGATACGCAGCGTGTAYTGAACCTAAAGCACTGTATTTAATGGGTAATTTTACACCCCTAACATTTACACATATTGTCAATGGAAGTGCTAAAGCTAAATGCTGTTGCCACATCAGCTCCAGCAAATAAGTTTCTGTGTTGGATGAAGATGGCCGCTAATCCTGTGGCTGGTTCTGGTTCTGCTGGAGGTTTTTCTTTTTAAAGGGAATAATTTCTTTCTGTAATATGACACAAAAGTTTGATAAAATCTGTTGGGTTTCTTTGATAACTTTTACTAATTTATCTCTTGATGTATTAAAAATAAACAAGTTGTGTCATAATAAGAATCTGGAGCTAAAATGTGATTGTTTGACTTTTTGTACTCCGCCTTGAAGTGACTTTAGGTGTAAACTGTATTTCATTTGTGTGACCAAACTAAGGATTAAGTGCCAAAGTGTGGAGAAAAAGGCAGATATAGTGTTTTGATAAAACATTTGTGATAATTGCATTTTGTCAAAATATAATAAATAAATGCTTTAACAATGTATCAATTGGATGAATTGTCTGAAATGACATCTGTTACAAAAACTGAAACACTTATTT